TATAGCAATATAAAAACAAATTTTTTGTTATCACTGAGTTGGCTTCATGTCAAAAATGTAAGGATATTTTAATAGTAGAAAAACGATATAAAGAATCCCTATCAAGAAAAATAGTGCAAAATCCTATGATTATCTCACCCAATGCCCAGAAGGCTGTTAATAATATTTATTTAATGTCATAATTGCTAAAAATACATATTGGAATAGAAGAGTTTTTCTTTACTATAATAAAATGTATCTTTGTTTACATAGCTTGGTTGAAAGATAGCCTTAACTTCAATGGAGAAATGTTAAAGGCACTCCCAATAAAAGTTAAGTGTAAAGCAAAATTGGAGGAGGATCATAGATTCTTCAAGCTTCAATGGACCTTAGAGATTATACAGTTCAACCTCCTTATTTGACAGTTAAGGAAACTAAGGCAAATGGAGTTTAAGTTATTTGTCCAGGGACACCAATTAGTTAAGTGTCTGAGATCCTATTTGAACTAACTAGGGGCCCTTTATCCATCAGGCCAACTAATTTTCTCTGAAAAGCCACCATCTGGTTGCCTGTACTGATTGAATTAGTGTTTCATTTGGGTTGTACAGCCATGGCCTCAAGGGTATTGATGTGTAAGACTTTTGCCCCTGCACTGAAAGCCCCCAAACTGCTGTGATATTCTAGTTTGCTCTGATACTGTGCTTCCACAGGGGCTATTTGTAGCAGATGCTGGTAAATGTTTAACTAGCTGGAGGTGGTGACAAGTGTGCATGACATACTTCTAAATTTAATCAGCATTATTAACATTTTTCCATCACTTTCTTCAGTCTACATAATCAACCAAACAATACCTCAAACCCTAATAGCATTAGTGGATTTCTGAGGTGAAAATTTAACAACTGACTCTCCAGAGACTAACTTGCTGTAGTGCACCCTGGGTTTATTTGTATATGCTGGGCTTACTGTGACCTGTAACTAAATGACCCAGATTGCTTTCTGAGGTCATTTTCCTCCCTTTCTCTTTCTTTATGTTCATTGTTCTCTGATATCACTTCTCAAGAAGAATGTAAACAGATGGGGGCATTTGGGGATACCTGGCCCCCAGATAATATTCCCCTAATTCCCATACTGAATTACTATTTCTAGGGCTCCATTTATTAAAAATTCCTGCGTAGCACTGGGTTTCATTATTGTTATGGGGATGTGGGGCATGGGAGGCTCATTCCATACACTTGTATCTGCTTTTCTTTTTTCTCCTTATCCTGACACTTGTCTTGTGCTTTATGGCATGGACATCAGTGGGGCTTAGCTTTGACAATTATACCAACTAAAGAGAGTGCTCCTTTCTTAAGGCCTGTCCGATGACCAATCAATCACATTTTGACATTATGGATCTATTCAGATTTTTTTTCTATCCCTGTTCACAACTTGGAGGCATTTTCAGTTACCTTTGGGTTTGTGACTATTCTGAACTCATTGAGGGTGTCAAAAATTGAATGTTGGGTATGTGATGAATTGTTACATATTCCCTTTAATTCTGCAAGCTTCCTAATTGCATGATTAGTGTATTAATCACCTTGGTATCGCCACAGTCCTTAGCATAGGATTTTGTACATAGAAAGGGCTCAATAAAAACCTGTTTAATGAATTAGCATCTGAAGATATTTTTAAATTAAATAAAAGCAAAAACATTGCTAGAAGCAATACGCCAATAAAAACCACTATTTTATTTTCTTTAAAAATAGAATCAGTAATGCTCCTTGGTTCTCAAACCAAGGATAACCCTAGCTAGGCACAAAGAGTCTTCACTTAGATCTCAAAGAAGTTGAATTCCTTTGATGCCACTTTCTCATTCAAAACCCACATCAGTGCATCAGCGGTCAGAAGGTCACTGAGATTAATGGAGAGTCATTAAATGTCACAAAAGCAATTTTGTATGTAATATAAAATGTAATATAAAGCCAATTTAAAGAGATGGTTGGGAAAATAAATGAAAGCATAAGTCTAGAAGTGGCATTTCATGAATTGAATTCCTTAGAATAGTTAAACTATGAATTTAAAAAGCAAAGACCTTGTGATCTAGCCTAAAATTGATTTCTACCTTTTCTTTTACGTTGTAAGTTAGTGGTAGTAAAATAGTCACCATTGACTTCTTAATTATGAACAGCATTTAACTTAGGAACATGGAATCACACCCAACTCTGGACTTTGGATAATAGCTTAAATTATATCAGTATAAAGTACATGACATCTCTATCAACAATATGTGTTCAAGGATCCTTAGCCTTATGGGCATGGTAAAGTTTTGTATATTCCAAGCTGTTTCCCAGAAGACTATTTTACATTCACTCAGCAAGTTAAGACAAAGTTTTAATATGTTTACTTTTTTTTTTTTTAAGATGCAAAATTGATATAATGGAAAAAGTTTTGCATGGAAAATCAGAAGCAGCTTCTGGTCTTAGTTCTGCTACTATCTGTATGATCTTAGGCAAGTCATTTAACCTCCTCTGGGACTCAATTTCCTTATCTACAAAAAGAGAAGGGTTGGACTAATTGATTAATAAGAGTTCTTCTATGTCTAAAGTTCTGTTATCCTATTCTATATAATTACTTCCATTCAATTCCAGGCTATTTCACCTTTTTGACAGTAAAATAAGGTTCCCCATCTTAGATTTTGGGAGATTATATCAAATTAAAACCTTAAAACTGGGCATATTGATGAACTGTTGTGAATATGATTGGCCAGACAAATCATCAGTAGTGGTAATGACTGCAGATAGATTGACAGTTTTCTTTACCTTCAACAAAAGATATAGGAATTGGCCTTTCTCCATGAAATGACAATGTTATTTTTGCTGTACTTTAAAGATCATTCCTTAACGTTTTTCTGTTTAGGTTTGTATTGCCCAAAAGACCATTTTTTTATTACTGTACTAGATGTTTTCCTAAAAATCTAAGTAAAAACTGATTTTTTTTTGCAAGTTTATAAGTTTTAACAATGTATTAAGAAATCTTGTTATTTAAAGAAATCCTATAGAGAGGTTTGCAGGAGGGAAAATGGACAACTTGATTATATAATATTTAAAAGTTTTGGCACAAACAAAACAAATGCAGCTAAAATTAGAAGAAAAGCAGGAACTGGGAGGTGATCAGAAAATTTCTTTGATAAAGGTCTCATTTCTAAGAGATACGGAACAGAGACAAATTAAAAGAATAAGAACCATTCCCCCATTGAAAAAAGTTAAAGACTATGAACAGGCAGTTTTCAGAGAAAAAAATCCAAGTTATTAATAACCATATGGAAAAATGATCTAAATCACTATAAATGTGAATTAAAAACAACTCTGAAGTATCACCTCATATCTATCAGATTGGCAAAGTTTACAAAAATGTAAGATTTCAAATGCTAGAGGGGTTTTGGGAAATGAACTGGTTCAGCCATTCTGGAAAACAATACTGAACTATGCCCCCGCCCAAATATTAAACTTTGACCCATTAACACAGCTACTAGAGATCTCTATTAGAGAGCAAAGAAAAAGGAAAAGAGTGTGTATGTACAAAAATATTTATAGCAGCTCTTTTTGTGGTAGCAAAGAAGTAGAAACTGAGGGGGATGTTTATCAATCAGGGAATGGCTGAATAAGTTATGGTATATGAATAAGATCGAATACTATTGTGCTATAAGAAATGATTAAGGGGACCATTTCACTGTAGTCTGAGAAGATTCACATGAATTGATGCATAGTGAAATGAGCAAAACTAGAACAATTTATACAATAGCATCAATACCGTCAACACCAACAACTTTGAAAGACTTAGGAACTCTGATCAACACATAATTGACCAACAATAATTGCAGAGGACTCGTTGTAAAAATACTGCCCACCCCCAGACAGAGAGCTGATGGGCTTACAGTACAGAGTGAAGCATATTTTTTTAATGAGGCTAATGCAAGATTTTTTTTGAATATATAGATTTGTACCATTTTGTTTTTCTTACTTTATCAGGGGGAAGGGCAGGGAGGTGAGAGGGAAAAAATTCAGGTTCAGAAAATAAAATTGAATAAAAAAATAAATTGGAAGGTGAATTTGTGGTAAAGTGAAGAATTGATTTGCAAAAACATAATCACTTTCTAATTTACTTTGTAGTTCCAGATACTACTATATTTAATTTGATTGAAGTGAGTCACTCCCATAATGATAATACTGTATCAACTTAAAACTTAAGGATGTACACAGTTTGTCAGGGTCCAAAGAGTCTACAGGATTGTTTGTGTTTCTATTTTGCTCTTAGTTTTTCCAACCCATCTCTGGGTATATTCACAGTATCATAGATTTAGAGCTAAAAGGGTCTTCAAAGACTATCTGGTACAATCTCCTCCTTCTACAGATGAGGAAACGGTCCCAGAGAGGTTAAGCGACTTAAGAGAAGGTAGAATTTGAATCCAAGTCCTTTGACCCCACATCCGGTGCTCTTTGCCTCTCTCTAATACAGATTAGGAAGAATTATTTTTTTCATCTTAATTAATTTATTTTTAGTTTTCAACATTCACTTCTATAAGCTTTTGAGTTTTAAATTTTCTCCTCCTCTCTCTTGGCCTCCCTCCCCAAGATGGCATGCAATCTGATATAGGTTCTACCTATTATTATTATTATTATTAAATTATTTTAAATGTTAAATTAATTAAATTAATATTAATAAATTATTATTATTCCTATTAAACATATTTTCACATTAGTCATGTTGTAAAGAAGAATTAGAACTAATAGGAGGAACCACAGGAAGAAACAAAATAAAACCGAAGAGAAAAAAAATAGCAAATAGTGTGCTTCGATCTACATTCCAACTCCATAGTTCTTTCTCTGGATGTGACAGCATTTTCTCTCATGAGACTTTTGGAGATGTCTTAGATCCTTGCATTACTGAGAAGAGCTGAGTCCATCAAAGTTGGTCATTGCACAATGTTGCTGTTACTGTGTACAGTGTTCTGGTTCTTCTCACTTTCACTCAGCATCAGTTCACACAAGTCTTTGCTGCTCACTATTTCCTATGAAACAATAGCATTCCATTACTTTCATATACCACAACTTGTTCAGCCATTCCCCAATCGATGGGCATCCCCTCAATTTCCAATTCTTTGCCACCACAAAAAGAGCTTCTATAAATATTTTTGTACATGTGGGTCCTTTTCCCATTTTTATGATCTCTTAGGGGAGCAGACCTAATAGTGCTATTGCTGGATCAAAGGGCGTGCACATTTTTATATTTGGACATAGTTCCAAATTGCTCCCCAAAATGGATCAGTTCACAACTCCACCAACAATGCATTAATGTTAGGAAGCACCTACTATGCAATAGGCCCTGTGCTAGGTGCTGGGGGATACAGAATAAAAAAACTGTTACAGCTTTCAGAGAGCTGACATTCTCGGGCCGGGGGAGGGGCAAGGCACGCGGCAAGGCACGCATATTAAAGAAAAGTTCCTGATACCCTCCAGTCCAGGGCTTCTTAAACTTCTTCCACTCTTGACCCCTTCAACCCTTCTTAGGTTCTGCGAATTTGTTTTTAAAATATTTTGATAACTGTATTTCATTATAACTGGTGTTCTTTGTAGTCTTATGTATTTTATACATTTAAAATTTTTTTCTGATTAGGGGCCCATTGGTTTTTCCCAATTGCCAAAGATGTTGATGAGACCAAAAAAAAAAATTAAGAAATCATGCTGTAGAAAAAATAAAATTGATTCCTCTGACAGGCTTTCTATTGTGGCATGTAAAGTTGACTTTATTTGAAAGCATTTCTTGTATGGGAAATAAAACAAATGTAAATTGTAAAGTCCCTTTGGCTCTCCCCCTTCCCCCACACCTTTTGATTCTAGAGCCCGTGCCTTTGATTGATTGATGGCACTGACCCAACTTCTGACCCATCGGCAGGTTATGCATGCACTGAAGTTTGACTTTGCAGTACTGTTGATAGCTCTACATTGGATTATTTCTCTTGTTCTGAATAGGAGGGATATGCAAGATGGTGGCAGAGCTTAGGGATGGAGAAGTCAGTGGTTGTCTAGGTGGAGCTAATTGGTTTGTGTATATGTTTCAAACTGGTAACACTAATTTCCTCACTATTCTGATATTTCATTGAGTCCTGACACCTTGGCTAGAAGAGTCTAAGCCTTTCTTCAAGATCTCCATTTACATTCAGATGACTCAATGGAGTTCACATTCATTTAGTGCTTCTTTTTCCTTCAGCATACTTTTTATTTAACTTTTTGTTGTGATGTTTGGGGATTGGCTTGTTGGATGGGTGTTGAGGTGGTACACATTCTACATATTTGTCCTCTCCTTAAAACAAGCATGCTAAAGCTAATTTGTTCTTCCAGGAACCTATTTCTTCAAAGAACCGCAAAAAGAATACATAGTTTTTTAGTTGGATTTTAATTTCTTTTCTGGCTAAAACAGCTGAAACACAGTATTGCCTTGTCCAAACTGGCCCATTGTTTCCTAATACCCTTAAGTAATTAAGTCCCCTTATCTTTACTTTACATCAATGTTTTCATTTACCCTGAATTGTCTTTTTCATATAACATTTCCAATTTTCTTTTGGGCATGTAAATTCTTTTCAGGGAATCCTTGTAGATTATTGAAACTAGGTTGTAAAATCCTATGAGCTCTTTTAAAAATCATGCCTATTGCCTCATTAATGTAATACTAAGTAGTAAGATCCACACAAGACTGTGACCTATTATTTATTGTTATATTTCCTTTTTTACTTTCTAAGGATAAAGATTGTCACTTCAATGCAATGTACAGTCTAGAGTACACGGGGCCATCATTGGCCAGATTCAATTCAACTCGACCACTTATCTACTAAGGTCAATGTATTATAAGTAGTCAATGTCAAATAATACACGTATTCATAGTTAAGTTTGCCAATACCTAAAAGATATAGTATAGCAAAAATACTTTCGTAAATTTAAGAATAAAGTATCTTTGGGTTGTCCAAACTGTCTCCCATGCCCGGAATTCAAACTCTCCTTTAAAATTCCTGGCTTCCTTTGAGGTGCAGCTCACGTGCCACCTCTTACAGGAAGCCTTTCTGGATCGCCCTAGTTATCTGCCCTTCTTCCTTTTTCAAATTATGCCCATATTTATCTGTACACTTTTTGAATGCTAGCCTCGCTCCCAACGTAGGTTTCTAGTAGGCACCACTTATTTTTCGTTTTGACTTTGAATCTCCAGTGCCTGGCACATAGTAGGCACTCAATAAATGCCTTCAGGATTGGACTGGATTGTAACACACAGTAAACTAATTTTAACTCAGTTTCCTTAAAATTCAGGAATTCTTTTACCAGTATGTTAAGTGCCTGGCCCAAGAGTTCTTGAATAGGTTAATAGGTCTCATTATTAAGTGTTTAGAATTGGAAAATGAGCTGCCCAAAGCATTCTCCTACATTCCAGATCATCACCTCCCAGGGATCAGAAGGGCTGGGAACAAACTGGCTGCAAGTTTACTAATCGCGTTTCACTCACCAAGAAAAAAAGTAGGACTATGATTAGATTAGGAAAGGTGGGGAAAGAATATTGGCAGGTAGAGAACACCGGAAAGTTACAACTTAGGTTATTTTTTAACAGGCGACCTAATAAAAAAAAGTGCCTTGAGGCTGCTTCATTCTCTACCATTTTAATAGACCTTCATTTCCTCCAAAAGGAGGTGTCAGGTCTTTTGCATTCCGGACCTCGTAGACTGGCGGAGGGTTCGAAACCCCCTCCCCCTAGGAATCAGGCTGGGGCCTGGCTATTGCACATCTGACCCCTCCTTCTCACCTTCCTCCGGGCATCGGAAGGAAGAGGGTGGGTGAAATCTTGAAGGTATTAAAACTAAACAAATAAAAGAAAAAGAAAAAGAAATCCTTAGTGTTGCAGCTCAGTGAATGGAAACTTCTCTCCCTACCTCCCCCCGCCCCCGGCGGCCCTTCCCCCGGCAATGGCAAGAGACCTAGCCCAGCAAGTCTGCTAGCTAATGCAAATGACCCAGCAGCCCTCCCTCCGTCGTCTCTTTGGGGGCACGAGCGGGTGGTGCTGTCAGACCAGCGGCTGCAGCCTCCGCAGCCAGCCGCAGCGGGAGCGGGGAGCGGCCACCGCTCCTCCTTCTCGTTCTTCCTCCATCTCCTCCCTCCTCCTCCTCCTTCCATCTCCTCCCTCCCTCCATCTCCCACTCCTCCCCCCTTCTCCTCCTTCTCTCCCCCTCCTTATCTTCCCCTCCCCCTCCTCCCCTACCCCCTCCCTCTTCTCCTCCCTCCTCCCTGCCCTCCTCCCTCCTCCCTCCTCCCTCCTCCCCCCCGGCGTGCTCTGCCTCTCGGCTCGGCTCGGCTCCCCTCCCCTTGTGGCTGGCCCAGGCAGGCAGGCAGGCCGACGGCGGGCGGCAGGCGGCGGGCGGCGGGCGGGCAGGCGGCAGGCAGGGGAGGGAGGGAGTGCGCGAGCCCGGGTGAAAGGTGTCGGCCGGGAAGGAAGGGAAGTTAGGACTAGCAAGAAGGTCGTTGGCTGCTCGGGGCGCCTCTTCCCTCCCCCCTTATCCCAACCCCCCCACCCCCTTTTTCTTCAGCAGCATCATGGCGGAGCCCGGCGACTCTCCCGTCCATGTCCAGCCCCAGCAAGCAGCCCCGGTGGCGACGGCGACGGCCGCGGCCACGGCAGCCCCGGTTCCGGCGGCGGCGGCGGTGGCGGCGGCTACCGGGGCGGCCTCGGCGGCCCAGGCCATCGGCTGGCCCATCTGCAGGGACGCGTACGAGCTGCAGGAGGTGATCGGTCAGTGCTGCTGCCGGGCTCGCCCGACCCCGGGGCCGGGAGGGAGGCTGGGTGGGTGGGTGGGGTGAGTGCCTGAGAGGGAAGGGATGCATGCATGCATGCACGCCCGGAGGACGACGAGGAAGAGGACGAGGGGGCGGCGGGAGCCGGCTTTCGCGGCCTACCGGCTTTTTTCCCCCCGCACCCCCTGGGAGCCTCTTGGTGCAGGAGGCCGGTCTGTGGGAGCGCTTGAGCACGGCGGATGTGACTCGCACTGCAGACGAGTCGCAGAGTGCAAACTTTTATCTCCTGGGTCCGTGGCAGCCGGGGAGGAGTGAAGAGGGGACCGGTTTCCTCCCCCTTGTCCTCCCGTTCGTTCCTGTAGGAAAGCGAGAAGCCCCTTCCAGATGTTCGAGGCGGGGTGTGTGTATGGTCGCATTCATGCAGCTGTTTCTGCAGCTGCTCCTTCTTGGCTCCCCTCCACCTCTTCTCACTCGCGTACGCTTTGGGGACTCGTAACTCTTGTGGCTGTGTCTGCTCTCTCCTCTCTCCAGGGCCTTTTAACCTTACGATCTGGGCTTGGGTTTATCTCTGGGGTCTGGGGCAGAGTGGGGAGGGTACAGGGAGAAAGGAGCCCTTCCTCGGACCTCGGTTTGTATTTGCCTGCATCTTTGGGGTGGTGGGTGGTGGGGTTGGGTGGGGTGGGGTGGAGAAGATGCTTCTTCTTTGGATATGACGCCGGCCGGCTGTCACTCCTTCTCTCCTTCTCTCTCTTCCTCCCTTTCTCTCTGCAAAACCTCCCCTTCCACCTTCCCCACTGCGAGTCTTTGGGAAGCCCCCTGTGCCAAGCGCGCCTGCCCGTGCCGGGCGTTGCGCCTGCCCCAGGATGGGGGCGCGGTGTCCGCGCCCGTGCGCGCTAATGCTGCTGCCCTCGCTCGCTGGTCTAGCGTTGGTTTGCGAGCAGTGAAACCTTAGTCCTCTCGCCTGCGATCGTCTCCCAGCCTCCGGGGGGGCCTCTGAGTCGGCTCACTAACAGGATTGTAGCTTGCATTTTTAAAAACCTGAGAAAGTTCCACGCTGAGGCCGGATGTGACCTCTCTCGGGCCACTAACGTGAAGGGCCAGGTTGATTTCAGCCCGGGCTGGTGGTTTCTCTCCTCTGGTTTGCTGAAAGTCTGAAACCCAAGAAGGGAAACCTCCTAGGTGGCCAGGGGTGCACACGTTCTAAGTTCACCACTTTTCCCCACCCAGGTTTGTGGCCTTATTCAGCTCAGTGGGCATGAGGGTATTTAAACAGGGTAGTAAAGTGTTTCAGAACTTTTCTATTAAAATTTTTTTGAGACCCTTACTTTTTCTAGTCTCCCTTTTCTTTTACAAATTTCTTTAACTTCGGCAACTTTTATCACTTACTGTGTAAATGTATTTAGAGTTTGGGCAAGTGGGTACCTTTCAGAGCCAGCAAATCTAGGGATAGAGAAGGGAAGTAACTTCTTGGGGCTTAAATGCATTCTTGTGAAGTAGCTACCGATAGGAATGTTTTTGACAGGGTACAAGTTCTTGACTATACACGTATAGGTATTTGTGGTATGGAAACTCCATCAATGCAGGTCAGCAACTTCTGGGCACTGAGCAGCTAAATGTCACACAAACAGTTTTTCAGAGGCAGGATTAAAACCCAGGTCTTCCTTATTCTTAGAGGATATCTTATATTACCTCTGCCACACCATGCTAAAAAAGACTTCCGAAGTTGAGATGCATCCATAGATCTTGTCTCTGTTTCTGTCCCTTTCTCTGTTTATCTCTGTCTCCCTGTCTCTATTTCTGTCTCTTCTCTTCTCTTCTCTTCTCTTCTCTTCTCTTCTCTTCTCTTCTCTTCTCTTCTCTTCTCTTCTCTTCTCTTCTCTTCTCTTCTCTTCTCTTCTCTGCTCTGCTCTGCTCTGCTCTGCTCTGAATAAATGGTCGGTCTGAAAGGAAGCTGTAGAAATGATCCCAAGGGTTTGAAACTCAAGAGAAGGTCTTTGAAATCTCCTACTTATTAAAAGTCTAGAACAGAGACTTTGTAAGGATCAATCCTTCTCCCCCAAGCTAGCTATGAATGATTAAAGAAAAAACAAAATATCAACAAACTGGTTGATCCTGTCACAGTATTATTTGGAAGTCCAGGACTTTGGACATTTTTTAGTTGGTGTCTGTTGTGGTTTTTAGTGTCATTAATTGTGTGATACTGCTTTTTTTTTTTCATGGTCTGTACAAGAAGAAATTGCTAGTATTAGGATTGTTATTTCATTAGGGTTAATTTACAGCCCATGTATTTAAAAAATGAATGCCTATTTGAATTGATAATTGTCAACCATTAGAAAAATTTTGCCCTTTCCATCAAAATAATTTAAATGATTTAAATGAAAACGAAAGTGATTGTTTCTGTTTGCAATAGCATTGTTGACTACTAGTTGGTCACTTTAATGAAAAAATCACCCATTTTCTTGAGAAAATTTATAAGAGAAGCTTGTTTAATATCATGACCTGGCTTTCTGCACACTGCGCCCATTGCCCTATTTTGTTCATGATGCAGATTTGTTGTTTCTTTGTAGTTGAACATTGTTGATGAAGGGACAAACTATAAAGTGCCTCTGTGGCAGCTATGTCATTGCAAATTAAATAGGTGGATCTGGGTTTTGCAGGGGATTAATATTTATAGGGTATCATTGTAAACCCATTTCTACCAAGTCCTAAGAATAAGCTCTTTTTTTTTCTTTAGCAAACATTACACGTTAAAGTTAGTAGTACAAACACTGAACCACTTTCAATGGGAATTCCAATTTTAAGGTCTCTGGAACCACCACACAAGCAGGTGTCATATATCACTCTCCAGCAGTATAAACTGTGACCAGCAGGAGGCCTAGAAATGCCTATTTGGGTAGAAGAAGAGACAAGTAGTTTTAACTTTCTAGGGTGGCACAGAGTACTTTTTTCTCTAGCTCCTTCTCTGCAGAGGTTTGAATTTCAGGTGTAGGAGAGAATTTTTTATTTCACTGAAAATCCGAACAACTCAAGTTCAGTGGCTTGGTTTTCTTTTTTTTCCTCCTCAAATGAAATAGATTTTGTTAGTCTAAAAATAAACTCTTCTCTTTTATTGACTTTGTTTGTCTTCCTTGTAGTTGTATGAAATCAGTGAGAAAATAGTTACGTTCTACAGCTTTATCATCTTTAGAAGTTGTTGCAGGCTAAAACTTTACCTGAAGTAAATTGAGGGGTTATGCCAGGGAGAGGTTAAAAATCTGGGATTTCTTTCTCCAGCTGTCAGTATCTTAATCATAGCATATTTAAAATATTTCTATAACTAGACATTTTTATACAAATATATGTAGGTGAAGGAAATTTCCATTTCTTTCTTACTCTTTCTCTTCACTTATTTTCATAAACACTAAAAAAAGCTTTCTTTTATAAAAGTCTTTATCATAATTTAATCAGCTTTGATTTGAAAAACAAAGAATAATAAGGGAATCACAAAACCTTTGACTAATACCTGTGTCCTAGAATATGCCTTCTGTTGGTAGCCTGTGAATCCTGTCTATTTACAGTTGGTCTCTTGTTTTCAATATTTTCAGTTAAATAAATGCTTGTTGAATGAGAAATTTTCTCCTGTGATTTCCTGAAATAGAGTGTAAGAGTATTTTCTTGATGAATTTTGCAAAGACCAATAATTAAACATTTTTTTCTTCTTGTTCGTTGTCACTTTTGTCTTCATTGCTTCCAGATACTTTCTTGAGTTAGATCATTTTCCAGGTTTGCCTTTCTGCTTGCATGTTTCCTTTCCCCTATTTTATCCTCTAGTTTAAATAATTCTGCTTGTAGTCAGATCTATTGCTTATCCTTGCCATATATATTTCTAAACTGATGAGTCTAGAAATCATCACCGTGTCCTGTGACTACATAGGCATACATAATTTAAAATTTCATCTTCTGATATATCTGCTTATTTCTTTAATTTGTTCATTATGTTTACTAATCACTTTGTTGTATCTTATAGAACATTATAGTTTTTTTTTCTGATTCTACTCTTGGTTCTTGAATTTTTGCCTTGGCCTGTTTTAATCCATAATATTTTGGTGTTGGAAACTTTTTTTTGGTTTCCTTAGTTCTTTGAGGGATTCAAAATTTTTCTTTTGAGCATTTCTAAGAACTCTTCTTTCTACCATTTCTTTTTCAGTTTTTGAAGGAGATGTTGAAGTAGATTTCGCTGTGACCCTTCACTCCCATCTCCTCCCAGAGATCTTTTTGTTCAGAGATCTGAAGCTGGGAGGCATCTCAGAGGCCACAACTGCTTCATCTTATAATTGATATTGAGGCTTGGGGAAGTTAAATGACTTTATCCAAGGTCACCCAGATAGTGAGGCATCAGAGATAGGATTTGGACATAGTTTCTCTGACTTGGAACCAGTGTTCTTTCTACTATATGGTGGAATTTTATAATTTATAATTTAAAATATTTTTGTTGGATTGCATAATTGAAAATTTGAATCAGTTCATTAAAGCAGTGGGTATAGCATTTTCTGGTTTTTCTCTTAGGTACCAAATGGACCATTGGCCTAAAATGTTTTATTTTCTTGAGTGTGCTTTTTGCAGGATGCAGAGCACTTAATGGCAGGCCTGCCTTTCCAGTAGTTTTGTTCTTGACTTCTAAGTATCACTGGAGCTCATTGCTCCAGTTATTTTATTACATTAGTTAAGGGAATATGTACATATATTCCATTGTAACTGTATGTGCCATCTGTGTGTGTACACGCAGATGGCACATGTATATATACATATACATACATATAATTCTTGATTGTTAGGATTCCTAATAGTAGGTGGTAGTAGGATCTCTGGATTCTCCTTTGCTTGCATTCTGCATTGGACAGGTGACTCTATTCAGACTCTATTTCCCTTTTCCACATCCTGGTAATCAAGATAGGTGGCCATGTCACCAAGTCACATTACCTAATTAGGATAGTTTTTAAGGTTCCTTTCTAGAAAAGGATCATTGTAGTCTCAGGAGTTTCTACTTTGCCCAGCACCTTTGAGGTGTCCCCAGTGTGCATAGGACTTCCAAGGGGGCTGTGGGAGCTGCTTTGGGAAGCATTAGGAAGGTAGTAGCAGTGGAGTAGATTTCTGGACACTCAAACGGATAAAGCTTTGGTCACATCTGAAAGATGGCATCTCATTGATCTGTATAGAGGCTCTAACTTGGAATCCTTTAGCTCTTGCTGTCTTGCTATCACTATTAGT